TTGGATTGTCAAACCACTAAAATATGAAGGCTACTTTTGGATTACTCTCCTGTCAAACTCCTGTGAAGATTACTGTTCAGACATATACCTAAATTGTGGAAAGGTGAATACCACTGAAGAAGTGGCATAACTAAACACCTTGGTAGAATGGACAATTATAGATTTATTTGCTATCACTCAGGATGGACTGGTTCCTATCAATGGGTTGTTCATGTCCTTTTATCTACATTTTAAAAACATTTATCTTTAGCTATGAGGTAAAATGACAACAAAAGTCTGAAATCTGCCTATTGATTTTCATAACCAGTGTTCTACCGGGGATTGTGAAGGCTTTAATGATCACAGGAGTCTCTGAATCTGCTGATATATTGTTTTATCTAGTGTTTAACAATAGTTCCCTTGTGTACAGAAATCCTAGTTACAGACACTAGCTGATGAATAAGTAAGACAAATGTCTTTCCTGCAACATTGCTTAGCTTATAAAAGATTGATTTGTGTTGCTGCTATACTAGGGATTGTCTTCAGTTACAGTGGCTAACAAGACAAAAATCAAAACTGAAATCTATAATAGTATGCATGGTGCTTAAAAATAAATGTGGATAGTTTTAAAACATAATGTAAGGAATCCAGCTTTTATCAGAACATGGTTTAAATGATTTTGACTGCTCCCTTTAAATAATCCAGTGAAAGGGTTTTTTTTCCAATTATATTTTTGTTTTGTTATTTATTCTGCTTTCTAAATTTTCCTACATGGGTTTAATTATTGCAAAATTGATCCAGTAATATATTGGCCCACCCCTCTCCCAATGTTTTTTTCAAAGGACATGAGTTGTTCACATATCTTTTGTACTTTGATCTCTGCACTGACCAGCCACAGCTAAGGTATATCTGTATGATTGAATTGAATTGATACCAGCTCCTAATGACCAGTCATTTCCAGGTCAATGGATGGTCAGACATGTACCAGAATTGACTGGACATGCACCTGTATCTATTTAAAAGGAGACATCTTGGTCATGACTCACTCTCCTAACAGGTGTGGTCATCTTTAATTTGTAATTAAGCTTAAAGTGTTATTTCTCTTATTGTCCATAAAATATGCATAAACTTGCTTTAACTTTTGTGAATAAGGACACATTTTTCAAGCAAATTTAGTCACTATTGTAATTAAAAACTAAAAATAGATTTGCCATGTTTGTGCCCTGTAATCTAGTTATTTGTTGACATCAGCAGATGCATGGAAACAATTCAAATATTTAGTATCATTTAAAGTGATTCAATTTACTGGGTTGATGGAAAATTTAAAGTACAACTGTCCTGGTCTCATGGACGTGTTGATTGGGGTTTGTAGCTATGATAATCATTATTAATAGATCAGAAAGTGTATAATTAAAATTTACAGAAAAAACATTATGTAATGTTATTCAATGTAGCTTTTGTGCATTTGATAGATGATAATGGAAACAAAAAGTTTAGTTTTGGAATTAAGCATCAAACACAAATTTTGAATGGGAATTTGAGATTTATTAAACTGAGGAAGTTCATGCAATACTAAAAGTATAAGATATTAAGAATACAAACTTCACAGTTAAGTACAATAAGATTTGAGCTTTTGTCGAAACACACTGTTACAAAGAATAAAGAAATAAAGTTGAGAACTTGATGACATCAAGGGATAAAAATCTTGTGGTTGTGTTTTTGCTTGATCATATAATTATATGTGAACATTTTGGTACATGTGGATGTTATGTAACACAATATCTGGTATTAATAACATTCATCTACAAGGCATTGGATTATGTGGATGATTACCTTAATGTTTTGAGATGACAGTATAATTGAACCTTTCTTTTGATATAATTTCATGGTATCAGTGACCCAAAATTAAATGTCTTCAATTTTAGACATATAAAATATGTGATTTAAATCTTTAAGCATTTTTTTAGTTGCCATATTCAACTTTTTAATTTTTTCAAAAACACATTCTGCGAAATTTTGATCACCTCATGTCAGTGTTGTTCACTACATTGAGCATTTTAGATTATATCTAGGCCGCCCTTGACTGAACGAAAACTGATCACCTTGATTGACTTTTTTAGCAGACGCGTGTTAAAATAGTGGAAGAATGCACTAGATCCTGGTAGTACAAGTCGCCTGAATCTTAAAAGTCAATGAATAATTGTATCTATTTGACCAACATACTTGTAGTAATAGATTTAAAAGTTGAATGGTTTCAACTTACATACAAATATTTCTGATTTGTTTTGTAAATTTTGCTGATTTATGTTTACTTATTTTGTTACTTTTTTGCAACTTTGGAAACAAATCTACATTTCTGATAATTATGAAATCAGATTATCTTTTTTTCTTTTGAATAGTTGGTATTGTCTATCGTTTCATAGATGATCTACCTAAGTTTCCATCACAGACTTTAGTTCATCAGATATATATGATGCCATCTATAAGAAACTGGAAGAGTTACATTATCTATTTTATTTTGATCATCAAATATTGCGGACATTTACAGTAAATTCTTATTATAGACTTTAATTGTAAAATAGTTTAGGCTAGCTTTTTATTCATAATGATTCTACACCAAGGTCCTCCCAGGTATTTAATATATAAGGTTTTTCTATGAAGTTACACCTTTGAAAAAGTAGCACCTACTCTACAGAAGACACCTGTATCATACTGTCCATAAGATTTACAGAATTTTATAGTGGTAAATATATATCTACAAGAAAAAGAGAATTTAGTCAAATAGAGGTTTACATACCACATTTGTTCTGCTAATCACACCTGTCCCTATACATACAGTATCCCTCACATTTTCTCAGGCAGAGAGACAATGTGTGTGATTATAAAAATATCCGGCAATGACCATGCTTGGTAATAAGCCCACCAGTATATTATGCTGTTTAATAGGATAAAAAAAACAATGGATTTTAATGTCGTGTTATAAGTCAAACCCCTGGCTTTGATTAGTGTTGGCTGATGCAGGATTAATAAGGTAATTTACCAACACATTGTTTAAATCTTTGCCTCCTCTATACTCATTCACTAGATATTGATATAACTGAAATCCAGTTTGTTTTTATGTTTCCAAAGTTTCAAATCTAAACATTTCACTGGAAACATTTCAACCGTTTATCAAATTTATGCCTTTCATTTTTTTAAAAGCACAAAGGATGCTTGAAAATTCCATCAAAGTTGGTGTGAGTAAATTCTCCAGATCCTTGTGTCATGGAATGATCAATATAAAAATCTGAGAATTTTGTCATAACATGTTTTATATTCAAGGGAATACCAGTGCAGCTGTCATTTTCTCTCTTCTCTTTAGGCTTGATACATGTATCTTATAGTTGTAATTGTATGTCTGGGTAAGACATTTAAAAGCCTTACATACAATCTCCTCTGTACAAAGGACTTATAATGTTATCGGGAGATCTTCCATTGTAGACACAGCATTGCATATATATGAGCAGGAAACTATTCTAGAAGTATAGGATTAGTAAACATGGGAATTTAAATACTAAACATCTGAGGATTGGAGGAAATATTCTTCCATTCTGTATATATTCAATGCTTTAGTTCGTGTAGTGGACTAAACCATTGTGTGGTTAGAGGCCGGTACATATAGGTAGTTTTTGAGAAACAATATGAACAGGTGTTTGGTCCTAACAGTGTAATAAAATATCTGAATTACATTTGGTTTTGTTAGTGTTTAAATGTTGTTCACAAAATGTTTTAGACAATTTCCTGATGTTTTTCAAACCCAGTCAACCCTAACATCATAAAATGACCAATTGGGATGCATGCATCATTTAGGCGTAGGTATGTCTGTAAATATGACTTGAAAGCTACCCTTTTTACACTAGTTGTATATAGTCTTCCTGATTTATGTATCAAAACATTTATAGTCAGCACCTTAGTGGAACAATTAGTGTTGATGAACTTTGACCTTGTGACATGTATAGAGATATATGTGACCTATGACCTCAACAGTGATTACTATTATGGGAATACTATTGTAAAATGAATGGTGATTTGAATCTAGGCCTTGGAACAATGGCCTCTTTGAGTTATTGTATATCTTTATAGAAATGTTTTTAGATTAGTTGTAATATAGATCCAGTGGCATGTGAACATGGGAAAATGGAATGTAGTTTTATAGTCTTCTTGACTTGACATATATATCTCATGTTTACATTGAATTGTATCATTTTTCCTCATTGTTGAGTAACTTTATATCTAAAAAGTTGTATCAAGGGGAAAAAGGTTGTTGGAGAAATGAAATGTTTTTCTGAAATGGATATATCATGCAAGATTATTATGTGAATTTCAGAGAGATAATTTTTCTGTTTTCGTTTCAATTCGCCTTTTGATTTTAAAGCATCTCATTTTCAATCTATTTGACAGGACATACATAAGCGACAATTGTAAATATTTTTTACATTTATGATTTCTTGATATAAAGTCTCCCATAACGTATAAATTAGATCTATTCAGTTTCACTGTTTGATTCAAATGTTTACCATTTTTGATAGGAATCTATCATATCTGCAACATTATCTTAATGACGTCATAAAATTATAATTTGTAACATAACATTCGTAGCTGGTATGGATGCCATGAAAAAAATTAGCAAAAACAACATATGTGATGAGAGTAAAGTCACAGACTCCAAAGGTTTTTGCATTCATCAGTTGCCATCCTTTTGTTATGATTTCTGTGGCAATCACACAAACCATTGCAGTTCATATGTCTATGATGACCTTACCAATCTTAGAGCTATACCTGTATCTGTAGTAGTATATACTGACATGGCACTCTTGCTTGTGTCCATAGTGATCTTTGCTGACATGCTATTTTGTGAACATGTATCCATGGTGATATATACTGACATGCCTTTTTGTGTACATGTATCCATGGTGATATATGCTGACATGCCTTTTTGTGTACATGTATCCATGTTGACCTTTCCTTTCTTGTTATTGTAGATCTGTGAGCAGCACCTGTCCAATGAAGTTAACCCAGGAAACCATTATCGAGCGGTGTGTCGCGCACTTGTTGCAGAGGCCCAGGAACTTTGCTCTTTCTTGGAACAAATTTCCACTGGGAAAGAGGTGTGTATAGGAAGCAGGTTAATGCTTCATGCTGGCAAGAAACAGAAAGTCTTGTTTTTAGTTGTAGTGCCAGCATTCATTTATGGTCTTTAAAAGTAAACAGGTCTCAAAGTCTATCATAAAATTTTAAAAGAAATCCGGTATTTCAAATCCAATGGAAACTTGCCATGAAAAAAATTGATACAGAGGTGTTTCATATCCAAACAATAAGAAATTTTAGATGTAGTGATATGTCTCTCCAGATTTTATTTAAACCTGTATCCTGAAATTTTAACAATTCAAAACCATATGAATCGTGATATGACGATTATGACAATTGTTTTTTGTAGTAGGCGGAGAAGTTCGGTGTGAACATGAATACAATTGATGTAATTTATGTTTGAAATGTAATTACAAGGATAAATGTATGCAAATTAGCTTACCACATCCTACAAACAAGTTGAGGAGATGTAAGATAGAAAGTTCATATGGTCAGGCATTACTCTGAATATTATTAGGGCTAAAACAGCTGGTCCTAACTCTTATTGTGAGGAAATTGATACCTTTAACATTTACATAAAACACGTTGTTACTACATGTTAATGTTGTAGAGGGCTGGGGTGACCTAAACAAAGCAAGTGAATGGTTATGTAGAAATAAAAGGTCTCCCATGTGTAGCCCTACCCCGAAACAGGCAGATTAGAGAATCTTCTAATTCTTTCCATTCAAAATGGAGGTAGAGACTATTAGTGTATTTGATTGCCCTCACCTGAAAATGTTTTTTTAGAATACATACCAAAAAAAGCAGATAGCTGGGGTGTGGTTGTGTATTATTGCTTGGTTTCTAGAACCTAGAGCCATACCCTGAAACAGACTGATATGTAGAGAGTTTTAGGGGGGGTTGTGTATTATTGCTGGGTTTCTAGAGGCTTACCCTGAAACAGGCTTATAAGAGAATCCTTTTAGTGTACATACCTTATGGGGGAAGGGAAATCCGCTATAGATGGAAAGGTATAACTGTTTTTTTCAATAATCTGCAGGGTCTACCCTGAAAGAGGGAGGGGGTAGGGCGAGGCAGCATATGAAGGCAGCAAGATGGTAGTAGAGTACACAAACGCAGGCTGTGTTAAACACAATTTTATACAGATGAAGGATGATAAGTAGATTTTGACCTTTTTAAGATAGGGTGATACAGAACAAGAAAGATATTGGGGGTCACACATCTGATTACTCTGTAAATCAGGCTGAGACAGTATAGGTACAGCTAAAAGGTATTGGCTAAGTGTCGCCTTACCTTCACCATTCCATATAAACAAACACAAAAAAAACAGGTGGTGCCATGAGTGAAGAAGTCAATAAATTGAGTCATGTCTTCCTGTCTCTTGACTTCTGTCCAAAAGTTGTTTTGACATATAAGCTGTAAAAATTTATTGAAATTGCGTGACAACATAAAAGGATATGCAGGGATTACAGATTTGGTGCCATATACAATGAATCTACATACTTGATTAACCATGTGTGGTTATCGTTTCATTCCATGTCCTTGGAGGATGTGTGTTATGATTTGAAACGTAGAAGTTTTTTCGATATTTAATAAGTTACATTTTCTGTATAGAGCCTGCAGGCAAATGAAGATGATGGTCTCACATTGTTGGAGGATTTACAAAGGAACGACTGGGTAGGTTATTGACTGATTGCTTGTAATCATAAACCATGTGAAATATAAAGAAAATCGGATTATTTCTTTTTTATGTATTTGAATGACCTTAAATTGGCTCCAATTTGTTTGCAGCTGAGGAAAATATAAGCATTAGTATTTCATGTAAATCATACTTAAGATCCTAAATTTTCATCACACTTGTATGACCAAAACATCAGCCATCTCCTTTGACTATCAACTGTAAAGATAAGATAGATAATTTAATCCTAAAGTGATAAAGGATGGTATTAAGAAGGCCAACATATTGCTGACCAATCATTTAGAAGGTCAACACATTGCTGATCAATCATTTAGAAGGTCAGCACATTGCTGACCAATCATTGACAAGGTCAGCACATTGCTGACCAATCATTTAGAAGGTCAACACATTGCTGACCAATCATTGACAAGGTCAACAAATTGGTAACCAATCATATTTCAAAACAATTATTTAATTGTCCTTAAGTATTTAACAGTTACTTTGACAAAAAAAGCATTTGTAATTTCAAACAGTGGAGGACAGATTGTTTGATCTGAGATATCTACATAATCCCATTAAACTATTGTCTTGATGTGTTTTTGTTTTTATTTTTATAATTGATCCATGTAATATTGCTGTCTGACATTAACTATCTTTAACTTGACCTTCTTGTGCTTTATTAAGGCGAGGCTATGGGTACAGATAATGAAGCAACTACGCCACGGGGTGAGGTTAAAAAGTGTGCAACACACTAACCTTACCCCAAGAGAATATGAACTGACGCCATTCGAGGTTTTACTCGAGGACATACGTACAAGGAGATACAACCTCCGAAAGACTCTGGTAGGTATTCTAAATGTTCCCTTACTGTACAATGGTTATAACTTTCTTCTTGTCAGTAAAATTAACATGTTATTCTTACTTGTCCCTTCAGTAGTTCTCAACAAGTGATGGTACAAAATACTTTGAGTCATTTTTAATTATACCATACTGTAAACCCAGCATTCTGACACGTTTCTTCAATATAGAGGCTTAGGTCAACGAAATAGAGCATTGATTAGTTTTGCTACTGAACAGCATTTGATATGGGTGGGCTTATTACTGAGCGAGGGTTTATTATCTGTATTATGTAAACTCTTAGGCTGCAGAAAAAATTATGAACTTTTTGAAAAAATGTAAAGCAAAGTGGAAGTCTGTTTTTTAATCCTGTTCGAAAGAAGTTTACCTGGTATACCAATAGTTTTTAGGAAAATCTTTTGGTGTTGCGACATCAATACATAGTGGCCCTTTTCCTACTACTTACACTAATTGACCTGTGCTTGTGGTGTAATACAAGCCCTATATGTGATTTTATATCCTATGTAATACACCTGAATTACAGAAAAGCTGATATCTTGTTAGAAAAGTTAAATGTTGTAACTTATAAACCTTCAGATGTCTTAAATAAGTTTCATTAGAGAATTACCATTGTAACTTGGATGTTTTATTGGACTTTCTGCCCTTTATACAGAAGTTGTTGATAGGTAAAGTGACAGTTAGAGGGATATTACATTGTAAACATCCTTTAATGCCGAAGAGATTTCGCCTAATTGCTGTCGAGCTTCCCAACCTAGACCGGAGCTATTAGATTGTCTGTATTAGGTCATGTAATGGGCTTCTAGTATTGTTAACTTACTGTTGAGATAATTCAAAGAAAAGTCTAAAACTGTGTTTCCTGTAATACATGGACAGTTGACAGATAACACTGAAGTGGTTGCATGATTTGGTTTGAATGTCATGGGTTTTCTGCTTGTGATAAAAAAAAATCATTTTTGAATGATTCCATTTGATTCTAACCAAATGAGAAATTTTTAAATGTGAATGCAATCTTTTCTGGTTTTGTTGCATGAGATTGAAGATTTCCTCTTTCTAATGCATTTGAAAATGACTAATCCCTTGTGATGTGTTGACGATGAGGAAATGTTATTGATAGTCTTTCAAAAATGTTTAAGTACAACATGACTCTCAGATATTTCATATTTGTTAACCTATGTAAAAATATCTCTTAGCTATTAGTCCAGAGGGAAAATCATGTAAACTTTTTTCTACGCCTATACCTTTAAGAGCAGTTGCCCTGGTCTTTTTACACCAATTTGGACAAATGTTGGAGAGTAAATGGCAAAATTTAAGAATTAATTGCATGAAGGTGATATAATTGGTTAATCTTAGCAACCTTAAAAATTCCTTGCAGAAAGGCCTGGTAGCTGACATCTGTTTTGAAACAAGGAACTAGATGTGCTAAAGGCTATTAATGTTTGAACCTAGAAAATTTGGTATCCAAATTTATTCAAATTAACCAAACTTTCACACCTATGCAACTGTACAGACATTATTTTAACAAGATTTTCTGTTATCAGGAATGACTGCATGTTTGGCTGATGCTGTTTTATATCTGTGTGTGTTTACCTGGCTATCTTGACCTTCATTTACAGGTAAATGGTGACATTCCACCTAAGGTGAAAAGAGATGCGCATGCTGTGATTCTTGAATTCATTCGATCTCGCCCCCCTCTACATTCCGTAAGTCTTTGTTTACTGTGCACATTCATGCAGGTGTATGCATTTTTGCACACAAACACAAAATTTATTCTTTAAAACCAGATTTTAAATTTCAGAGATCAAACAAAATACCCTGATTGATTATGACACAACTTACAAACACACATCTCAGTTGATTTAGAAACGCTTTTGTAATTCTCTCCAAATTATCAGGAAGTAATACTTCTGATATATCAAAAATGATTTGGATGAGTGAATCTGAGTTAGAAATTCCATGAATTAGTATTAATGAGCAGAGGTGAATTAATATCTATATATACAGTGTAGAACGTCTTAAAATTCAAAAGCATTGCTACTTTGAGGCTGCTTTGAATGTGTATAATGAGTCTGTCCTGTTTCAATGACCTGTAGTTATAACATTCAATTCAAAGTGTCTAAGTGGTTGGTTTCCTCATATGCCTGAGATTACAACAGAGCATGTCTTGTTTGATTTTCATGGTTTTGGGTCATTTTCTTGATTTGCCTATTAAGAAAATTCATGTTGTTTGTACATTTAGATGGGTTTGCATCAGTAAAGTCATTATTTTTTTTCCATAAAGTTTTACAAAATCAATAATTTTCTGGGATGGAAGATGCAGAGTAAATTCATCCAAGTAAAATTTGAATGATAAAATGTAGAAAAGTTTGATGAATCCGATTTTAGGTTTCTGAGAGTGGAGTTAAAGTGATCAGCTCATTGTTTTTAGAAAGCAATGTATATGTGTATATGTCATTGAAGAGTAAGGAAATGATGGCTGTCACCTATACCATTGTGTACAGTGTAAATGTCAGTCAGTAGGTCAGCCTAATTAAAGTGTCAAATCTGATGAATTGTTCAACTTCTTCTTGGAAACATTTTTATTCTGCATTAAACCCTGGGGGCAAACACATAATAATCCTAAAGATGATAATAATTAACTCAAAGCAAGGGGTGGGCTTATTTCTGGGTGCTGATATAGCATTTGGATTGTTGTTTTTCCAAGGGAAAAAAATGGTGGGCTAATCAACAGACATCGATCTCAAAATATTCAAAATGTCCATGAATATTGTAGCTATATATATCAGATGTCAAAAGTGTCATTACCTGTCTACATTTTTAGAAAGTTGCATTCTGGAATGCAGGATATGTGAATCCCTGTATTCTCTTGTCATGTTTTATGAAACTGAATAGCTTATGCATAGCTAGACTGTCAAGTACTTTTAAAAAGAAACATTTTCTGATAGACATGAATCTTTTTGAAGGGGAAATATTATTCACATTTTAAAAAGGATAGATTCTTGTTATCTGGTGGTTGGAAATCTTCCGTATTCATGAACTACTGGGGAAGAAAGGTGACATTTCAAAATGTTAATAAAAAACCCATCAAAATAGAATCAGAAATAATTATCTACTAGGTAGGAATAATTGTTTGGGGGGATATCTGTTGCAAACTTCCTTCCTGAAGTAGAATAGGGTGAGATGAAAGGGCTTCTCACTGGAGGGTGAAAACTAGTGTTACATACCAATAAGTAGGGGGCAGGATGTAATCAACCAATAAAAACCAGGTAATGGGCGGATTGTGATGTCTCACTGTACTAACTGGTTTCGTATGAGGTTGTCAAAAGGTTATAGGTCCTTGTAACAATGTTCAGGTAATCATGGATGTAGTCATATAACGTTCGGGGTGATGTATGTCCCTATGATGTTAACGTCCACTGGACAAGCTCAGGTGTGTCATAAAACGCAGCCCCAATATCCTCTTCTGGTCAGCACGGCAGGTGTTTTACTATTTAGGTTTAATTGAAAGACAGCTTAAAAAACTTTTATCAAACAACCTAATTGCCATAAATAGAAAATATGGTTATCTCATATGTAAATATGAAAGTATTTGTCAATTGAAAATTTACTCTCAATTGTAGACAGAGGATATTAGCCTGTTGGTGCCTTTTGATAGCAGATTTGGAAATAAAATGGAATTAAGGACAAGCAAATATGTGTCAAATGCTTCATTTTGAGCTAAAGTCTATGCATCTTGAATAACGTCATGTATTGCCTGTCTTTTGATCAACATTTTTCATTGTTATTGCTGTATATGTTGTGCTGGTTGGTGTGAGATGCATTGTGCCTACCTACTGTATGTTCGAGTGGTCAGTTTGGGACAGCCAAGGACAGGGAAAGATTATCACATATTATTGTTACAGCTTGGGGTACTTAGTAAAATCCTGTTAAACTGTCACTGACCACCATTGTGATAAGGGCCCTGTGGCCGCAGGTTGTTGTCACAATGACAGATAGAATCTCTTGACCAGTGGTCAGTCTAGTGATAAATGTCAGTAGATTTGTAAAAAGATATACATTTTGTTTATTTGCAGACAAAATATAAAGAAAATATCTTGTTTAACTTCAAAACTTTTTAATTATATGATTATTATATAGATAGTTAAAAATCTGATAATTTCTGGGTTTCCAGGCTGGTCTAGCTATCATATGTAAAGGACATCTACCACACCTAAGCCAGTTAGTTCTCTTGCTTTCTGTGAAGCCAGCTTAGGACAATACACGATAAGACTAAAAGTTCACACTAAATTTTTTCAATAACATTTGTTTACTGGAAATTTGAATGTAGGGACGAAGGCATGGTGTTAGTAATTCTCAGGTCAACAACACAACATCTTTAGGGCAGTATTTTGTGCGTTAAGTGAGAAGTATTGTCAAGATTTTGTCAAATAATTTCTTGATGAAATATATTTATCTCATCATATGTCAGATAAAGTGAATAACCATGTTACTTAATGTTTTTGTAAAAGTTATGAATAAATCAATTTTTACAAGTTGTAAAACGTTGTGCTATGTTAGTAAAGCAGATCTTAAGGAATGTTGAATATATGCCAGGAGTTGTTCCTATCCTTAACACAGGTGAACAAGGGTTGATTAACTACACTGTGGGAACATTCTATCTTCGGCAAATACATGTATAGACAACCATTCAAGGGGCAATCGCTTCAAATCAAATCCTGATTTCCAGGAGTTAGGAGGCGTTGTTGTAAACAATACTATGAGATCATTGTAGTTTAATACTGAAAATTATTGAGGAAAAACGTCAAATGAAAATGATTCTTAGGTACTAGAATTCTCTCATTGATATTTAATTAGATCTAAGAGGTTATCAAAGTACAGGAAATATTTATCAAAACTCTGCCGATTATGAGACAAGTTTAACACTAAGGAGAGGTATTATTTGGTGCAGAGGGTAACTCAGAGGTTTAAAGGTTAAATGACCCCCTCCCCATGGTCAGAAAAAAACCATGTACATGTAGAAATAAAAAGAAAGAAACAAAAACTATCTTTCATTACCACTTCACCTGCTCGGAGGCTCTTCAGGTTATGTATACGTATATACCCTTTTAACTCAACATCGAAGGTTAGGAAATATTTCTTCCTGCTTGTTTCAGAACTAGAAAAAAAACTTCCTTCTACTTCATTATGCACATTCTTGACAAAGACATATTCTAAACACATTCTGCATAAATAATTACAACAAGCACATTCTTTGTATCTGTTATATTTGGACCAAAAATGTTCAGAGTGTTAATAAGGAGAGTGAAATGCTCAATGTTTTGTTATTTCTGGCATTGGTACAGCGTCATTTCGCTTTTAAGGAACTTCAGAATAACTTTTTAAGTGTTAATAACCAACAATGTGTACAACCCAGACTTCTGACACAGGAAAGTTGTAAGTTTTCCAGAAGCTGTTAAGCTTACAAGGTTCATACAGTGGAATTAATAAATGCTTTGTATGCAAATGTAAATCTAGCATAAATGTCTAGGTGGGATTTTACACATGTAACCCCAATATAAAGTCAAGCATTAATGTCTAGGTATGGTTTTCCATATGTTTGACCTCACAAGACCAATGTGAAATGACTGGACACCAAATGTGGTTAATAGTCTGGACATTGGACACCAAAGGTGGTCAGTAGTTTGTAGGATATACATTCCTGTTGCCAACTTGTGGAGCCCCATTGGTGTCTGTCCAACACTAGTCAGTAAGCTGGAATTAATATCGGCAGGTAAATATTGGACCTTGTTTACATGGCTGGTACACACAGGTGTAAGTATAGATAGACAAACTCCTCTAGGGATTAGCTTATCTTATAGGGGGCTGACTTGCCCAGGCCTTTACCAGCATTCTCTGATCTCCTGTCGGGAAGGTGACAAACTAGTCTCAGGTTTCTGATACACTGTCCAGGATTATTTGGAGTGGATTATCTGCCCTTTAGGTTTTTTTACTCCTATTACATGAGTATGTTTGTTTTCCCCTTTTCATATTCAAATAGAGCCAAACACAAAATCACAACAAAAAGGTTTTGATGCTTTTGAGTCAGTATTGTCTGTTAAATCAATGAATTATAAACAACTGAGAACCACCCCAGCCCCCCCACCCCTCTCCACCCCTCAAAAGTTTTGTGCATTAGATACATTCCAGTAGGGTCTCTTTACCTATTTTTTTTTTTTTAAATTAAGTGCGAAATCCACTCATTATTGTTCGACTTCATTTATACATCCAGAAAAACGTAACCCTCCGAATATGTATTAGACAATATACTGCAGTGCCAGTTGCTTCCATTAAGAGGATATTTTTGCTATAACATGGTACAATAAAGTGATCTGGAAAATGGAGTCTGATCATGAAGTTTTCAATTTGTTGAACCATAATTCCATCATTTTAAAAGAAAATCACCAAAATTTTACCCATGAATATTACCGGCTATATGGCATTTAGATATTGATTGTGCTGTTGACTTCCCAGGCATAGGCTTACTGCATAACAAATACATTGCGCTACAAATGACAACAAATTGAAAAAAAATAATGTTTTGGATCTCCCTTTGACAATATGGATAGTAATTAGTCATTACACTTTCAGATTAAGGTGTGTCCATTTGGTCAAGTACTGCTCAACCTATTGATACATAACAATGGCCTTGGTGACTTCTAAGGTC